GAGTGAGAGACCCAGAGAGTGTGAGTGACAGCTTCCTGACCAGGACGTCTGTGTTTGCAGGTGTCCAGTGTCAGGAGCAGCTGGTGGAGTACGGGGGAGACCTGGTCCAGCCTGAGGGATCCCTGACACTCACCTGCAAAGCCTCTGGGTTAGACTTCAGTAGCAGCTACTGGATATGCTGGGTCCGCCAGGCTCCAGGGAAGGGGCTGGAGTGGATCGCATGCATTTATACTGGTAGTAGTGGTAGCACTTACTACGCGAGCTGGGCGAAAGGCCGATTCACCATCACCAGAAGCACCAGCCTAAACACGGTGACTCTGCAACTGAACAGTCTGACAGCCGCGGACACGGCCACCTATTTCTGTGCGAGACACACAGTGAGGGGCCCTCAGGCTGAGCCCAGACAAACCTCCCTGCAGGGGCGCACAGCTCCACCAGGGGGCGCACATGACGCACTGAGCCCAGATTCTGGTCATGCACTGGCGCAGAGGGAGATGAAGCCCTGGTTTCCTGTCAGGGAACTGGGGTTTCCTCTCCTGTAACAGTTTTGAGGGAAGAATTCTACTTTATGATTCTGTCCTTCCCAACTTCACTGACGGATTGAAAGTTTGATGTAAAAGGAAGATGTCCTAAATGAACAATTTGGTACATGGACAGCGACTGTGCTTACCAGGATCAGAGATGTGGGAATATTGAGAACACTATTAAATCTCTTCCAACCTGACTCAGGACTGCACCCTCAGGGCACTGAAAGCTTTGGACAGTTTCAGTTTTCCCTTTGGAACCAGGGAAAGCCGAGACAGGGTCGTTGATCTGTTAAACAGCAACTATTCCACTCATCCCTCTCCTGCCACAACCAGCAAGTGTGCACTGAACCAACCTTTGACTTTACATGTGGGTGATCCACACTCACTTTCTGCAGACTTTAACCCGACCTGCATTTCCCCTTTAATCCTGGAACAGTCTGTGGTCCCTGTGTGAACGTCACAGCACTCAGGAATGTACTGCAGCTCAGCTGTGTCTCAGGCTGGGCTTCTGCAGGCCCCTGGGAAGCCTACAGGGACTTCCTCATCCTCTAGGTCCTGGGACCCTCCTGTGGGCTCCCTGCCTGAACTCAAGAGAGAAATGTGCTGGACATCAGCAGTCAAGGTCATAACTGAATGGAAAGTGTTGGGTGTGCACTTCCAGCTGATCTGGTTCTGCTCCAGTGTCGTGGGACCCCTGCACCTACTGTGGTTCAGGGAGAGCAGAAAGTGGGACACACAGTGGCTGTGCACTCTGGGGCTGGAGTCCACATCACGGGGAGCTGTGTCTGTGGCTCCAGCATGATGACCAGTGTCCTGAGGCTGACCCACAGCTGCAGGAAGAGCCAGTCCCAGAGACCATGTGTCCAGAGTCCCTGCTCTTCACTCCATGTCTGTTCTGACTGGTGTCATCAATCCATTTGGAGTCTTTCAACTATTTTGAGAGGGAGACACCCAGGCTGCATATCAGAGTGCTGGACGGAGCCCATTTACACGCTTTCCCAAACTTTAATTGACAATGCACCCTGGAAGACAGTAGATGATGGATCTGTTATGAGGCCCCGTCACCAATTTGGGAACAGTAATGCAGTTCCATGCTCCTGGGTTCCAGCTGCCAAGCCTTGAGTGCACTGGCCTTCATTTATCATCACCATAAATCTCCATATAAACTTCCTTTTAAAATATAACTCTGTCCATTTGTCCATTTTCCATCCTTCTTCAATGCTAATTTCTCTGGATTATATGTGTGAACTCTCAAGAATGACGCTGCTTTAATTGAACATGGGACTGCAGAACTGTTTGCCACAGTGACTGCACATCCCATGGTCTCCTCCCTAGGATTTCATATTCCTTCTACCAGGAATGGTGTTGGAGGATCCTGTGATAATTCTATTTCTCAGCTTCTGATGTTTTCCATGAAAGCTTTCCTAATTTACCTGACTCCAGCCTTTACCAGGTTATCTTCTCTCTCTTCCTGCACAACATGTGTCAGCTCTGGTATGTCTGATGATACTCAGTCTAACAAAGGGATGGGATATCTCATTGTTTCTCCAACATGTACGTGCATGATGATCCCAGATTTAAAGCATTTTATGTGTTTGCCTTTACATTTTCTTTAAAAAATTACAGGTATACTTTTACCTCTTTAAAACTTGTATTTGTGTATTTGTCCAAAAGGAAAAAGAGGCAGAGACTGACAACAGTGATCTACTGAATCCTGGAGCACTTCCCAGATGCCCATAAAAGCTGAGTTGGGTTAGATCACAGCCAGGTACATGGATTTGAAGAGTTAAAATTGTATATGTGCGGATGTAAAAAGTTAAGCTTAAGCTTACAGGTTTAAACCTTCCTGGTACAGCTGTGAAAATAAGACAGAGTGAAGTAGCACCTTGACAGTAGGGACTCCATTTTGGGGCACTTGAGACTCCATTCTAGGAAAGCACCCCCCCCACACCGTGAGACTCTGGTCTGAAACTATGATCTCAAATAGTCGGACAATAGCAGTGCACCACATCACCCTGCGCAGAGCACAGAAATCCCCTAGCATGGTTGCTCAAGCTTGAAAGTAGAAAGGTTGCACCTGGGTTACCTGGGCTAATAATGAAGATGTGATTTGTCTATGTCTTAAGATCATAATTGCTGATTTAAGATTTTAGCAACCGCTTAGCAACTGTGTATTCTCTCCCTCCTCCCGATTTTGCAGTTTTTGCCTTTATAAACCCTATGCTGTAGTTACTCGCTGCTCCTCTGTCCTTGTATGTTCAGAGGGCCCCAACATGTTGGATCAATAAATTTAACCCTTTGCTGGTTGCATGAGAGAAAAAGTCTCTTGGAGTCGTTCCTTGGGCAGTGGGCTTTTTTGGACCCTAACAAATTCAGTCCAGGTCTCACACATAGTATTAACTCAGATTCTCGTACTGCCTCCCAGAGTGCGCATTGGCAGGAGTCTGAAATTGGACCCAAACTAGGACACAACACTCAGCATCTTGATGCAGGAGCAGGAATCCCACGTGCTAACTCCAGTGCTGATCCTGTCACCACCTTGTCAGTCACCGCATTTAAATAATTGATTCCTTCATTTGGGATTAAGTTGCTTGAGATCATTCAACATTTGGATCTAGGCTCTTAATCATATGTATAATTAATCTTCAATTTATTTTAATATCTATTTTATTTTAGAGACAGTGTTATAGCAAGAGAGGAAGAGACCAACAGATGGAGAGAGAAGCTTCCGTCCACTGGTTCACTTTGTGAATGGCTGCAAAGGGTGGGATAGGTGAGCCTGAAACCAGGAGCATGGAAATTACTGCAGTTTCCCACAGGGCTGGAAGGGGACAAACACTTGGGTCATGGTAGACAGTGATCATCATTGCACTTCCTCCCTCTGTGAGTTCAAGCCTGTGGACCGCATATATAACTAATGTCACATACCATGTGTCCACATGTACCAGGATTATTTCTGTTAGCATATTATGGTGCATGATTTCCTAGTGACAAAACTACCTCCTTCTTAATACTGAATAATATTCCGTGTCCTAATGTGAAAGAATCCATTCACTGTTCTATGCACACTTATTTTAATGTAGACTGAACTATTGTGAACACAGCTGCATTACCTGAACCCAGGTCTGCGGCTGAATTGTGACACAGTGACTTCTACCTAGTGTGTGACCTCAACTCAGAGTCATGATTACTAGACACAGGGAAGATGGAACATAGGGCAGCTCATACCAGGGGACAAAGCACCACTAAAGGCAGGAATAATTCTGCCCACACCACAGTGGGCTGCCTCAGTTCACCACAACACACGACAGGTTCCACGAATAAATAGAACTGTGGCCTCCAGGCCTCCCAACAGAGTGATGGAAAAGGAGGTGGAAATGTGCATGACACTGAGTTCATCTGTGCCCATTTCTACCATGCACATTCCAGGAGCACACAAACCCCACTACCATGTACAGTGTTCTGTGTTCAGGAACAGTTTTAAACAGTTTAAACAGTTTTTAAACTTTAATGCAATGGATGAACAAGGAAAGAAAACATAGTTAACCTTAAAAAATCCATTTGCAGTCCTTCATCTGTTTAAAAGTGAGTGACAGGCATTAGGACAAAATAGGCTAAGTCCCACTAGCGGCACCCATGTTCTCATCAGAGAAATTACTGAGTGTATCCTCATGGCTTCCCACACTTTTCCCTCACAATGCATCATGGGAAACTGTAGATGACGCTACACATGAATGAACCCTTACCCCTGAGGTTGGAAATGCAGATAGAGTTTTTTGCTCCCGGGTTCAGAAAGACTAACTCCTAATTGTCATAGGCATTTGGGATGTCTGGGGCTGTCACTCAAAGGCAGATATCTCCTATTGTCACCTTTTCTGTCCATCTCTACATTTCTGTATCTCTCTCCCCTTCATCTATCACTGTCCCAATGTCTTTCATATAGATGATAAGGAACCAATGGTTATTCAAGTTAATAAGGGACATGATATTGCTAACTCTGGATATTAAGGGTACACACATATTAGAATGAAGCAAGGTATTTGCCTTCAACTTTTTAAAATAATGATAAGATAAAAATTCATATGATCTGAATCCTATCACAGCCATCACTCTACATACCCAGGACACCACATCAGCCCTGGGCCCTGTCCTATCTGAGGCGTCTGACCCCATGCCTGCTATATAGGGGCAGCACATGAAGATAGGGCCTCCCTCTGCCCATGAAAACCAGCCCAGCCCTCACCCTGCAGCTCTGGCACAGGAGCTCCAGCCCCAGCACTCCCAGGTGTCCACTCAGTGATCGCACTCAACACAGACACTCACCATGGAGACTGGGCTGCGCTGGCTTCTCCTGGTCGCTGTGCTCAAAGGTAATGATGGAGAACGCGGGGCACTGAGTCTGGGAGAGGACGTGAGTGAGAGACACAGAGAGTGTGAGTGAGAGTGTCCTGACCATGTCGTCTGTGTTTGCAGGTGTCCAGTGTCAGCAGCAGCTGGTGGAGTCCGGGGGAGGCCTGGTCAAGCCTGGGGCATCCCTGACACTCACCTGCAAAGCCTCTGGATTCTCCTTCAGTAGCGGCTACGACATGTGCTGGGTCCGCCAGGCTCCAGGGAAGGGGTTGGAGTGGATCGCATGCATTTATACTGGTGATGGTAACACTTACTACGCGAGCTGGGCGAAAGGCCGATTCACCATCTCCAAAACCTCGAGCACGGTGGATCTGAAAATGACCAGTCTGACAGCGGCGGACACGGCCACCTATTTCTGTGCCAAAGACACAGTGAGGGGCCCTCAGGCTGAGCCCAGACAAACCTCCCTGCAGGGGTGCACAGCTCCACCAGGGGGCGCACATGACGCACTGAGCCCAGATTCTGGTCATGCACAGGCGCAGAGGGAGATGAAGCCCTGGTTTCCTGTCAGGGAACTGGGGTTTCTTCTCCTGCAACAGTTTTGAGGGAAGAATTCTACTTTATGATTCTGTCCTTCCCAACTTCACTGACGGATTGAAAGTTTGATGTAAAAGGAAGAAGTCCTAATTGAACAATTTGGTTCATGGACAGCGACTGTGCTCACCAGGGTCAGAGATGTGGGAATATTGAGGACACTATTGAGTCTCTTCCAACCTGACTCCTGACAGCACCCTCAGGGCACTGAAAGCTTTGGACAGTTTCAGATTTCCCTGTATCACCAGGGACAGCTGAGACAGGGCCGTGATCTGTTAAACAGCAACTATTCCACTCAGCCCTCTCCTGCCACAACCAGCAAGTGTGCACTGAACCAACCTTTGACTCTACATGTGGGTGATCCACACTCACCTTCTGCAGACTTTAACCCGACCTGCATTTCCCTTTAATCCTGGAACAGTCTGTGGTCCCTGTGTGAATGTCACAGCACTCAGGACTGTACTTGCAGCTCAGCTGTGTCTCAGGCTGAGCTTCTGCAGGCCCCTGGGAAGCCTACAGGGACTTCCTCATCCTCTAGGTCCTGGGACCCTCCTGGGGGGCTCCCTGCCTGAACTCAGGAGGGAAATGCACTGGACATCAGCAGTCAAGGTCATCACTGAATGGAAAGTGTTGGGTGTGCACTTCCAGCTGGTCTGGTTCTGCTCCAGTGTCGTGGGAGCCCTGCACCTGCTGTGGTTCAGGGAGAGCAGAAAGTGGGACACACACTGGCTGTGCACTCTGGGGCTGGAGTCCACATCACGGGGAGCTGTGTCTGTGGCTCCAGCATGATGACCAGTGTCCTGAGGCTGAACCACAGCTGCAGGAAGAGCCAGTCCCAGAGACCATGTGTCCAGAGTCCCTGCTCTTCACTCCATGTCTATGCTGATTGAGTCATCAATCCATTTGGAGTCTTTCTTTAATATACAGAGAGAGACACCCAGGCTGCATATCACATTCCTGGATGGAGCATATTTGCACGATTTCCCACACTTGTAACTGACAATGCACCCTGGAAGACAGTAGATGATGGATCTGTTATGAGGCCCCATCACCAAGGAGGGAACACTGGTGCAGTTCCATGCTCCTGGGACCAGCTGCCAAGCCTTGGGTCCACTGCCTTTATTTATCATCTCCATAAAGCCTTGGCAAACACAACACCAGTATTCAGAGTGTTGAACTTCATGATTGGCAATTGTACATCCTTTTATCCCACGTAGGTAGCATCACATATCATTTGTCTTCCTGGCCTGGATGGTTAGCAGAGTGTACTTTTACTGACATATTATCCTAGGCACATTATTCTCTGGGATCATCCAAGTTGTCCAAAATTACAGAATTTCTTTCTCTGTACTGCTTGTAAACTTCCTTTTAAAATGTAACTTTGTCCATTTCTTTCATTATCCATTCTTGCTTCCATGAAATGTCACTGGATCATATGTGTGAACTCTTTTGAATGACGGTGCTTTAAATGAACAAGGAACTGCAGAGGTGTTTGCCACAGTGACTGTAGATCCCGTGGACACCTCCCTGGGATTTCATATTCATGTACCATGCAATGGTGTTTGAAGATCATGTAATAATTCTGTTTCCAGTTTTTGATGCTTTTCCATACGGTTTTACTAATTAACCTGACACAGACTTGTACCAGGGTTATCATTTCTCTCTACCTCCATAAAACATGTCAGCTCTGGTATGTCTGGTAATAGCCATTCTAACAGGAGGGATGCGATGTCTCATTGTGCTTCTAACATGGACATACATGATGGTCCCAAATTGATAGCATTTTATATGTCTGTCTATATATCTTCTTTTAATAATTTATAGAAATGATATAAATTTTAAAATTTATCATTTTATTTGAGAACTTGTCTTTATGTATTTGTCCAAAACCACAGAGAGACTGAGACTGACAGTGATCTTCTAATTCCTGCGTCACTTCCCCGATGGCTACAAAAGATCCAGCTGGATGAGGCAACAGCCAGGTGCTTGGAATTCTGTCCAGGGCTCCCACGTGGGACTACTTGGAACTTCACCTACGGCCTCCCATAGGGGCTTAGGCAGGAATCTGAAACTGAAACCAAACTAGGACACAGCACTCAGCATCCTGACACGGGAGGCAGGAATCCCACAGGCTCACTCCAGTGCTGCTCCTGTCTCCACCTTATCATCACTGCATGTACACAATTGAATTCTTCCCTTGGGATCAGTTGCTTGAGATCTTTCAACATTAGGAAATAGGCTCCTAATCATATGTATAATTAATTTTCAATTTATTTTAAGTATTTTATTTTAGAGACAGTGTTATAGCAAGAGAGGGAGAGACCAACGGATGTAGAGTGAGGCTTCCGTCCACTGGTTCACTTCGTGAATGGCTCAAAGGCTATGATGTCTGAGCCTGAAGTCAGGAGCCTGGAACTTCCTCCAGTTTCCCACAGGGCTGGAAGGGGACAAACACTTGGGTCATGGTAGACAGTGATCACCATTGCACTTCCTCCCTCTGTGAGTTCAAGTTGTGGACTGCATATATAACTAATGTCACATACTATGTGTCCACATCTACCTGGATTATATCTTTTAGTATGTATACTCTAGGCGGACCCACATTTCCTAATGACAGAACAATCTCCTTCTTAACACTGAATAATATCCATGTCCAAGTGGGAAAGAATGCATTCACTGTTTTATGCGCACTTGTTCTTTGTAGACTGAACTATTGGGAACACAGCTGCATTACCTGAGCGCAGGACTGCAGGTGAATTGTGACTCAGTGACTTCTACCCAGTGTTTGACCTGAACTCAGAGTCATGGTTACAGAACAGGGAAGAGGGGGGAACACAGGGCGGCTGATACCAGGGCACAAAGCACCACTCACAAGAGGAATAACTCTGCTCCACACCACAGTGGGCAGACCAGTTCACTAGAACACACATCACTTTTCACAAATAGCTAGAACTGGGGCCTCCAGGCTGCCCAACTCAGAGTGATTGAAAAGAGGTGGAAATGTGAATGACAGTGAGTTGATCTGTGCCCATTTCTACGACACACAGATTCCAATAGCACACTACACCCCACTACCATGTACAGTGTTCTGTGTTCAGGAACAGTTTGAAACTAAGGCAATGAATGAATAAGGGAACAAACATAGTTAACCTTAAAAAATCCACTTGCAGTCTTTCAACTGTTTTAAGTGGGCAGCAGGCATTAGGACAAAATTGGCTAAGTCCCCACTAGGGACACCCGTGTTCCCATGAGAAAACTGACTGAGCTTAGCCTCACGGCTTCCCACACTTTTCCCTCATAATGCATCATGGGAAACTGTAGGTGACGCTACAAGCAAATGAACCCCTACCACCGACGTTGGAATTACAGACACAGTTTATTGCTCCAGGGTTCAGAAAGACTAACTCCTAGATATCATAGGCATTTGGGATGTCTGGGGCTGTCAACCCAAAGGCAGAAGTTTCCCATTGTCACCTTTTCTGTCCATCTCTACATTTCTGTATCTCTCACCCCTTCTCTCTCTATCACTGTCCCAATGTCTTTCATATAGATGAAAAGGAACTAATGGGTATTTAAATAAATGAGGAACATGACATTGCTAACTCTGGATATTAAGGGTACACACTGAATTAAGATGAAACAATGTATTTGCATTCAACTTTTTAAAATCATGATAACATAAAAATTCACATGATCATGATCTGAATCATATCATAGCCATCACCCTACATACTCAGGACACCCACATCTGCCCTGGGCGCTGTCCTGTCTGAGGCATCTGACCCCAAGCCTGCTATATAGGGGCAGCACATGAAGATAGGGCCTCCCTCTGCCCATGAAACCAGCCCAGCCCTCACCCTGCAGCTCTGGCACAGGAGCTCCAGCCCCAGGACTCCCAGGTGTCCACTCAGTGATCCCACTCAACACAGACGCTCACCATGGAGACTGGGCTGCGCTGGCTTCTCCTGGTCGCTGTGCTCAAAGGTAATGATGGGGAACGCGGGGCACTGAGTCTGGGAGAGGACGTGAGTGAGAGACACAGAGAGTGTCAGTGACAGTGTCCTGACCAGGACGTCTGTGTTTGCAGGTGTCCCGTGTCAGTCGCTGGAGGAGTCCGGGGGAGGCCTGGTCAAGCCTGGAGGAACCCTGACACTCACCTGCACAGTCTCTGGATTATCCCTCAGTAGCAATGCAATAAACTGGGTACTGCAGGCTCCAGGGAAATGACTGGAATATATCGCAACCATTGGTAGTAGTGTAGCACATACTAGGCGAGCTGGGTGAATGGTCGATTCACCATCACCAGAAACACCAACCTGAACACGGTGGATCTGAAAATGAACAGTCTGACAGCCGCGCACATGGCCACCTATTTCTGTGCCAGTCACATGAGGGGCCCTCAGGCTGAGCCCAGACACAAACCTCCCAGCAGGGGCGCGCGGCTCCACCAGGGGGCGCACTAGACACACTGAGCCCAGATTCTGGTCATGCGCAGGCGCAGAGGGAGATGAAGCCCTGGTTTCCTGTCAGGGAACTGGGGTTTCCTTTCCTGCAACAGTTTTGAGGGAAGAATTCTACTTTTATGATTCTGTCCTTCCCAACTTCAATGACGGAGAGAAAGTTTGATGTAAAAGGAAGAGGTCCTAATTGAACAATTTGGTTCATGGACAGCGACTGTGCTCACCAGGGTCAGAGATGTGGGAATATTGAGGACACTATTGAGTCTCTTCCAACCTGACTCCCGACAGCACCCTCAGGGCACTGAAAGCTTTGGACAGTTTCAGTTTTCCCTGTGTAACCAGGGACAGCTGAGACAGTGCCGTTGATCTGTTAAACAGCAACTATTACCAACCTTTGACTTTACATGTGGGTGATCCACACTCACTTTCTGCAGACTTTAACCCGACCTGCATTTCCCTTTAATCCTGAAACAGTCTGTGGTCCCTGTGTGAACGTCACAGCACTCAGGAATGTACTTGCCACTCAGCTGTGTCTCAGGCTGGGCTTCTGC